ACTTCACTTCCTAACAACCACCAATCAGGAGGAAAACAGAAGTTAAAGTTTATGGTTTGGCTCCCAGCTCAGCCAACTATGTTAAAGGCAACGATAGCTCCCCCCCCCCAATTAGATGCTTGCCAGGCTAGAAATACCCCTTGCTTGTCATTTCCTATAAAACCTTGTCCCTATGAGAATTTGGGACTGTTTCACCAAATGGTCCTGTGGGTTGGCAGTGAGTAAGCCCAAGCCCAAGCTAGTAAATAAAGACCCTAGTGTGATTGCATCAGAATTGGCCCCTGATTGGTCTTTTGGGGTTCACAAATGCTTCCTAGTACACTTGCATGACTGATAATATGTGCCAGGTAAGTTTGTGGGTGTTATGAACACACACACACTTCTGAAAGTAATGTGGAAACAGGTTGTAATTGCTTACACTGTCAAGTTTCTGCCACGATGAGACAGCCCCACTGAACCATTGAACAAAACACCACTGTCTTTTGTTAACCAAGGGTATATGGGATGGCTTATCCCTTGATTTTTTTTTTCGAGACAGGGTTTCTCCGTGTCTGTCCTGGAACTCACTCTGTAGACCAGGCTGGCCTCGAACTCAGAAATCCGCCTGCCTCTGCCTCCCAAGTGCTGGGATTAAAGGCGTGTGCCACCACCGCCCCAGCTTCCCTTGATTTTAATAAGGTTCATGTTCTCTTTTCACAATAAACACCCAAAATACTTTGTTCTTTGTTTTTCTATTTTCTTCTTTATAGACCAAGCATGCTTATCTCCTTAGTTAGTGTCTATATTACAAATTTTGAAATGGGTAACATATGTGCTAAAGTATATAATTAGTCTAAAAGGTGACTGAGAAAGGCAAATATGTTTGCCATATAATTATCTTAGTATATAATTTATGAGATCCGGAATTCATTACTCTCACATGATATGCCTGAGATGGTCTACCTCTGCTTTTGTTGGTACTGGCCTGTGGCTTGGGGACCAGGTTCCTTTCACCTACAGGGAGAGAGCATCCTTGTCCTTCTTGCTAACACAACAGGTTTTGGTTGCAAGTCCTCTGTGGTGACATTTCATACCCAAGCTTTCCAGGCTCTTCATGCTTCAGCCTACTCTGACCTGCAACAGACTATGGGTTATATTAGACATTACTCCATCACAAGCAATTTAGTGTCATAAAAATGTAAAGATATTTACATTCAACTCTGTGTTTTTATATTCAGCAACTATGCTGAGCTCTGTGAGGGTAACACACATGTCTTGGATACATGTGTATGCTCCAAGTGACTTACCTCGGGGAAATAGTCCTCAAAAGCACTTGTAAATGGATTGCTTTTCAAATAGATGTATTTGGAGAAAGAATTTGAATAAATTAAAAATTATTTTCCCCAGGGTAGAGAGAAAAAAAATCTGCTTTTCTAAATTCCAAGTAATTAGGTTTATGGGCACTCTCCATTGAAAGTTGTGGACTAGGCAATCCTAATACTTGAGAGATTTAGGCAGGAGGATCCATGTCAGTTTGAAGTTAGCTTTGGCTACTTACCAGACTCTGTCTCAATAAAGTACGGATTCAAACTTAAATAACTCAATAAAGCCAGATAGAATACTTTAGTATGATTGATATACAAGTCATCCACTTAAAAAATAATTTTATTATTATTTATTTGTGTGTATGGATGTTTTGCCGGCATGTGTGTATGGACATCACATGAATTTAGTGCCAATGGAGGCCAGAAGCAAGTGTCATATCCTTTGGGATTGGAGTCACAGACAATTTTGAGCTACCACCTGGTGCTGGCAATTGAATCCAGTCCTTTGGAAAAGCAGTCAGTGCCTCTTAACCACCGAGCCATCTCTCCACTGAGCAAATTACCTATTAAAAGTATAAAACCAGTGACTTTTTAGAATATTCACAGTGTTGTATAACTGTCATTAAATGTTGAAACATTTTGTCACCTCCCCAAAGAACCCTAAATTCTCTAATAGTTTTTCCCGTTCTCTCTATGCCTACACTCAGCCCATGGCAACTCTTAGTTTGCTTCCTACCTTTGCAGACCTGCTTAGTATGCACATTTCACATGTATGGAATCATACTTCCCATGCTGCTTTGCGCTTGTGACTTAGCATCATGTTTTCAGGTTCATCTGCATTGTGACAAGTGTCAATAGCTCACTGCTTTGATTCCATTCCATCTGATGATACAAAAGTTATAGATCTATTTATTAGTTGATAAACAGTTAGGTTGTCTCAGTTTGGATTTTTCTGAGTGGTATTGCTGTTATAATTTTGCAAAAACTCTTGAGTGACGTGTTTTCTCATAAAGGAAGTGATGAGTTGTTTGGCAACTGTCTGTTTAACTTTTGGAGGAAGTGTCAAATTTTCACTTATGTTCTTTATGAACATTAGATGGATTTTTCTGAAAACTCCACATTCATGCTACATTTTAAAAAATGCTGTTAACTGGGGCTAACCAGTAGACTCTTCAAGTAGGAGAATAAATAACAGCCTGGACTTAACTTCTGGAATATAGTTTGAGTAATAGAGACTGGAACATCAGGGAAGTCAAGACCAACTGGCCTAGCATGGCTTTGAACTTACTGTTTGCTCCCTGCCGCAGTCACCTCATTATTCAGATTTGCCCAGATAAGAATTATTTCATTTTTCATATGCTTTCCATGCCTTGATTTACCTTACTATCTATTATTAAGGCCAACCTCCAATGTTCATTATGTATGAAATTTTGTACATATTTATCCATTAAGGATGCAGGCCCATTCTCAACTGAAAATGCATTTTAATAGCCCAATAGAAGGTTAATCATCTTTTACACTGTAATCTAATTTTTCTTCTGGTTTATTTCAGTGTTTGTTGTATTCTCTTCAACTAGTTCACCAACCTGCCATTCTCTCATTTTATTTACAAAATGATTATTTTTAAAAATTATACTTTCACTGTGTCCTTATGTGCCTGGTTCCTCTAACTAAATAGGAATATATTACCTCCCAGTAGTAGGCAGATTCTTTAGAGAAAGAAAAGCCATCGTATGTGCGTGTGTCTGTATACATATACACATTGTAAATGAGTATCTATCATATTAGCTTACATGATAGGGTCTCAACCCAACAGTGGGCATACACATGCTGGAGAGGCTGAGAAGCTGTATACTTGAGCAGCAATCCAGCACTGGAGGCCTGGAGGACCCTTAGTTTCTGGTATTCAGTGCACAGTGTGTATTAGGGTTTTCTAGAGTCACAGAACATATGGAAGGTCTCGATATCTATATATTAAGGGATTTTGTTGTTCACCACCTGTAGTTAAACCCAACAATGGGCAGCTGTGAATGGGAAATCCAAGAATCCAGTAGTTGTTCAGTTCCAATCTAGTAGATGTTTCAGTTGGTCTGTATAAGCTGAAATCCTGAAGAAGTAGGTTCCAGCAGATGTGCTGGCAAGTAAGTACGAGCAGGCAGAGAAGAAGGAAGCCTTCCTTCTTCCATTGTCCTTATGTAGGCCTCCTGTAGGAGGAGCTAAGGTGGGAGGAGTAAGGAGAGGAAGAGGAAAAGGAAGAGGAGGAGCTAGGGAGAGCAGAGATGTAGGAGTGATGGAGAGCCATGCAGGTATGGAGAGCAGTCGCGGGTAACAACTTTTATTTAGGCTAGCTAATTGGGAAACAACTCTCTTTGTATGGGCATATTGTTATTGAGCATTACCAAACATATAAAGCCTTTGATTAATCTTTAAGTGTTAGAGTCTCAGTTTTCTACTGGGCCCGTGTGGATGGTGGGATGGTCTGGGCAATGTCCAGCCTTGCAGAGACAGTGTGGAAGATTGGCAGAGCCATCTCCCACGCTGACGTCTTGTGGGTGGCAGGGCTGGTGTCTCTGGCTGGCCGTTTCTAGCTGCGGCTCGCACGTGGTCTTTGGCCACAGAACATGGCGGCTGAGCTAGGCAGAGCCGCTGCAGCTTAGATAGTCGGCTTGACCAGCAGCTGTTTTTTAAATAATTACTTCAACAGCCTCCAGCAGAGGGTATGGCCCAGATTAAAGGCATGTTCCACCGTGTCTAGACCTACGCTGTTCTCTACTTGGAACTTGCTTTGTCCCAGGCTGGCCTTGAACTAAGAGATCTGCTTGCCTCCATCTCCTGGGATTAAAAGCATGTACCACTTTGCCTGGGTGTAAGCATTTCATGGCAACTATGCCTCAAGATCCAGATCACAGGTATATACTCCATTTCCGAATTATAGTTTATTCCAGATTTAGTCAACTTGATAGCTGGGAATAGTCATCTTAGTGGAAGGCTGAAGAAGCTGGAGTCTGGTGACAGGAGAAGATGGAGCAGAAAAGGTAGGAGCACTGGTTCAGGAAGAAACAAGCAAATTGGTACTGGTGCTAAGCCTGGAGGTGCCTTGCCCTTTGAAGGTGAGATTTCCCCTATCTAAATTCTCCAATACTCACTTCTGACTTCCATGGGGCACCTGCAGGCACACGGGCATATACACATAAATACACACAATAAGGTCTTCTAAATGGTTTCAAACTTACTTTCTGCCTAGACCCAATTTGCTTCATGTCTAAAATACCTTTTTCCCACTCTAGATTTGATGTGAGATACATTGGTTAAGTTTGACTGACAGGGTAAATGGGATTCAGCACTCAAAGCCCTCAGAAGTGCAGGGTCCACTGTTTGCCAGGAGACAATGACTGGGGACATATCTGACCCCACAAGCCATCAGGAATGAGCCACTTCTCAGTTATCACATCTTCCACCCGTTAAACGTAGTGGAGCCCACCCACTTCTTTGAGATGTGGACCTTTTGGTTTCCAAGGAACTTGAACATGGCTCTGTGTAGGGCCTCCATCCTTTGCTCCTTATTCTACAGCTTGGAGTGGATGGACATGATGGTCTGGCCACTGTGTGCTGGAGCTTCTCAATGGCATGCTATATTCCTGTCTGAAGCTTAGATTTGGGAAAGCATGGAGATCAGACGTGTCAATATCCACCAGAAACTGTCTCCATGGATCTGCCTCATGGTCACCAGTACAAGCATCTGGCTACATACGCTATGCCCAGAGACTTGTTCGCAGCCATTACTAACCAGGCCCCCAGTGAGGAAAGGAACCTGGGCAGCTAAACTTAAAATACTTTTGTGTTCAGTTGGGATACATGCCTTTAATCCTCGCACTCAGAAGACAGGATGAGTTTCAGGCTAGGCTGGTCTAAGTAGGGAGTCGATATCATGTTTCAAAACATATGACAAAAAAAAAAAAACCAAACTACCCTATGTCTATTGTTATTATAACACACAACAGTTAGAAAAAATAAAGTTATTTATAGAAAGTTTAAATTGCTAAAAATTAGTTTTTGCCAGGTTTGCCCCCTCCCATGTTTCCACTTCTAAGGAAAAAAAAAATCTTTTCTCTTTCACCAACTTTCATCCCTTTTTCTGTAAATATTTTCAAGTACCCTAAGAACTTCCTTTCCAGCCACCACTCAGTGTTTTAAAGAAAGACATTAGGTATCTGTCATTCAACCTAGCACAGACTGAGGACCTTTTTATATTTGAAGGGAGCCTTGAACTTCAAGGTCTGACCAGCTTGGCCCTCATTATCCCCTGGCAGACTTCACTTAGGTCACCGCCTTGACAAAGGCCTGGCTTGAGTGGAGGCTCTCAGATGAGGAAGGAGATGTGGTTTTACAATCATGAGGGTGGGAGGACATGAGCAGGAAGAGGGTAGCATAGTGTGTTTTGAAATGGTATATACTTCACTGTAATTGTATAGCGGGGTCTTAGGGTTTTATTGCTGTGAAGAGACACCATGACCAAGGCAACTCCTATAAAGGCAAACATTTAATTGGGACTTGCTTACGGTTTCAGAGCTTCAGTCTATTATCATGGCAGAAAGCATGGCAGCATCCAGGCAGACATGGTGCAGGTGGAGCTAAGAGTTCTACATATTCATCTGAAGAGCACTAGGCGAAGACTGACTCCCACGTGGTCAGGAGGAGGGTCTCATTGCCCACTCCCACAGTGACACACTTCCTCCAACAAGGCCACACCCACTCCAACAAGGCCACACCTACTACAAAAGGGCCACACCTAATAGTGCCACTCCTTGGCACAAACATATTCAAACCACCACAGTGGGGATCTTCTTTTTGTTTTTGATTATGTGTATACTTGTGCAGAGATACGTGCAGGTGATTCTAGCTGTCTGAAGAGGGGAGAAGAGTAAAAAGCAGTATATGCTCTTAACTGATGAAGCATCTCTCCAGCCCCTTGGGGATAGCTTTCAATTATTTTTATAGTAAAATGAGGAATGATAACATAAATGAGGAATATGGTATAAATAAGGCAAAGGAACATGACAAAGATGCAGGTGACAGCATATGGGGGAAGGAAGGGCTCTCTGATGGGATGGACATGCTATGAGGTCTTGAGAAAAACCATAAATATAGCTTATACCCCTTCTGCTCTCCCACATTTCCAGAGGGGTTTTGAATAGCCTAACACACTGTTTTCATTCCAAAAGAAAAATAGCTATGATTAATTAATGCCCACTTCTAAGCTCTATTCAAACTTTCACTAGGCTCTGCTCTTTAAGGCACAAAATCAGGAAAGTATATACGCCACATTTAACTTTTAGTTTGTGTTTTTTGAAGTAATAAACTGATACTTAAGCTGCACCAGTGTTACTCGAACATGTGACTGCATCTACATATACAGAATCATAAGGGAAGATTTACAGCTCCCTGGCTGGTGAAAGTCAGAGTCAGGAACATAAATCACAACAGGACCAAGTAATGGCTTTCCGAAGGGGACTTTGAAGGAATGTATATTTAAATTGGATCCTGAAACTCTTAGGTTTGAATTTATTACCCATCCTCCAAGAAATATTATAGTTATAAAGATGGCATTACAGAAATGGAGTTCAAAGACAGAAAAATTGGTTGGTCTTTTAAAAATGATTACCAGGATGATGTTACTCCACGGAGTTCAGTTTTTGCTCTAAATTCAGCATAGCATTGTTGCATTTAAGTCCAACTACAAATAGATTTAATAGGTAATATCTCTGAATAAATACTAATACTCTGAAATATAGAGGGAGATTTAACAAAGAAAATTCAAGAAAGAAAATCACCTGTGTATATTGCAGTTTAATCACCTGATGTATATTCTAGGAGGGATTTCTAAATATATGTTTCTGGTGTCAACACAACAAATCCACAAACCAGATGTGGTAGTTCAAGCCTGCAATCCCAGAGCTGGGGCAGAAGGATCAGGGATTTAAGAGGAATTAGCACACATACTGAGTTTGAGACCAGTCTGGCTATATGAGATGCCCATATATAGGTGTGTAAGAGCATAAACCTTGATTTCTTATGATTTAAAGTCAAATCTCCCCTTTTTATTACAATAATGTGTACAGACTCATTGATAATTTTAAATTTTCATCGAGGGTTTATCATCTATCATTCCTAGGGATGAAATTGGTTATAGAGAATTACAAGACATTCATTTTCTGTTAAAACATGAAAGAGAATAATATTTGAACACACTTGGAAGACTGAGGACATTCCTCAGCGGGTCAGAGTGCTTGCTGTCAAGCTTTGTGGCCTGACTTCAATCCCCAAGACTCATCTGATGGAAGAAGAGAAGTGAGTCCTGAAAATTGTACTCTGACTTACACACACACACACACACACACACACACACACACACACACAATTTAAAAAATACACATGGATTTAAATTCATTTTGTATAAAAATGTCCTACTAAAATATATACATTTCTCTGCATATTTAGCAAAATTGATGCCTTTTAGCATGTGACTTTTCCCTTTGCTTCTTGTGGACTGAGCCCTTCTCTACCTCCACTACCTTGCATCTGAAAATGGGGATAACATTGTAGTTACCTCATAGGACTGTTGAGATTCAAATGAGATAATCTAAGAAGAAGAACCTTGTCTGACTCGTAATAAGGTCTCAGTCGCTATTTCTGTGGTTGATAATAGCCAAAGGATTGACAGTCAAAATTCAATTGAGGCCTGGACATATGTTGCATTAATTCCTAATTTGGTATTCTCTTTTTGACTTGCTCTTTTCTTGGTACACAATGTAACCATCAAATTTTCACCCCGCTTAGATCCATGCCTTAAATAAACAATCACATATTTTGTTTACTGGGTGAGAAGGGTTCTTCTTCCAGTGGTTAAAACATTTAGCCTCTTTGTGATGAAAAAGAAGAAAAAAAGTAAAGGTTCTTTGAACCATCATTGTTTTCTCTTCAGCCATTATTTCAGTTATGAATGTGAAGGGTTCTCTCTGGAGGTTCGGCAGGAAGAATTTCATGTGAAAAGCCCATGATACAGGCAGCACCACACACAAGAGGCAGAGCTTGCTTCCTGCAGAAATCAGTCACTGAAGTCTGAATTCCAAAAAAAAGGACAGGTAGTCCTCTTTGCATGGCCAAATGACCATTGTCTTCCTAAAACCACTCAGAGAGTGTCTGTAACACACACACACACACACACACACACACACACACACTTAAATAGCCTGAGCCACTAGCCACTTTCATCCCCCTTCTGATCTGTTATGGGATCAGCGGAGTTTGGTCAGCCTGGTTTTACTTTTGTTTTTTCACATTTTCATGTTTATCCTTAAACATAGCAACCAAGCAAATTCTAAGTAGAATTTTAAAATTTTAAGAGTATTTAAGAGGGACACATAGTATTCGTTTACTAACTGTTCTGTAAACTGAGTTTTGTGTATTTTAGGTTTTTTTTTCCAGTTTTGTCTGACAGATTTTCTATACATGCATAAAATTCTGATTTTCTCATACACCATCTTCCAAATATTGACAGCTATGCTTGTAATTTTAAAGTTCATTTTGGGTATGTATATCAGATTAAACGTTGGTGACTAAAGAATATAAAAAAATAATACTATAACACAATTAAGAACAATGAACGTAAGCAGAACGTTTCTTTATTCATATCAATAACAAGTTGAAGTGGCCCCCTCTGCTCCTGGAAAGACGTAGCTCTTTCTTTTGGCCAAATAATGACATAGCTGTTTCTTGACCTAAAGTGCTAATATTTACAAGAAGCAAATTTTATTTATCTTCCTTTTTTTTTCTTTCAAGAAGCAAATTTTAAACAGGTTTTTATCAAACACACACACACACACACACACACACACACACACGCACACCACACAAAATCACAGAAGTAGTTGGGCTCTGGTGATACAGGTCTGTAATCCTAGGAGTGGAGGCAAGAGGATCTCAAAAGTTTGTGGCCAGTCTGATGTCCAGTGAGACCTTGTTTCTAAACTTTGTCATCTCACAATCAAGGTTTTGTCTTATTTTGATCTTGAGATCAACGTCCATATGCTAAAAGTGGGGGGTGTAGTGTGTGAGAGTTTCTTTTCTGTAATCCATCTAGGAAAGGGAAAGTATTTTGTGTATTTGATGAACTCTGGATTTTTGCTTTTGGAGTGGAGGGTATCTGAAGATTATAAAGTGCATTATTTCCACTTTATAATCAGAGGCCCATAGGGACTAAATGTTGGAGTGTTTGATTGAGGGTTACAGGTAAATTCTAGATCATCGTCAACTTCACTGAGGCTAGGGTTCAGGCTAGACGCTCTTTCTGCCTTCCTTAGTAAAAGTGATTTCAGATCTCTGGGAAGACGACTGGACAATGTCGGGGTGTCGTTTTCCTCTCTCCTAGCTCCAGTGTGGGTCTCAGCCTCTCGCGAGCCCCGAATGCCCGCTTCCTGCGGCTGCAGCTCCTGAGCGGCTGGAAACCCAAAACCCGCGGCCGCGTGACCGGGCCACAAACGCGCGGCGCCGCACGTGTCCGCGCGGTCCCGGAGCTCGCGCCGCCGCCGTCGCCGCCCGCTAGGCTTCCAGGACCCAGGCCACCGCCATGCTCTTCCGCTTCGGCGTGGTGGTGCCGCCCGCGGTAGCCGGTGCTCGGCAGGAGCTGCTGCTCGCGGGATCGCGGCCCGAGCTGGGGCGCTGGGAGCCGCGCGGCGCCGTGCGTCTCAGGCCCGCGGGTACCGCGGCGGGCGCGGCCGCGCTGGCGCTGCAGGAGCCCGGCCTGTGGCTCGCCGAGGTGGAGCTGACGGAGGACGAGGAGGCGGCCGGCGGGGCGGAGCCGGGCCGCGTAGACACGTTCTGGTACAAGTTCCTGCAGCGCGAGCCGGGAGGCGAGCTGCACTGGGAAGGTACTGCGCACCCGGGCCACAGGACCCGCACCCCGCAGCTCCCCGTGCACCCCGGCCGCGGCCTCGGGGGCGCGCACTCCGCAGCTCCCGCGCTCCCGCAGCTCCCCATTCACCTCGGAGGCGCGCACCTCGCAGCTCGCGCGCTCCCGCAGCTCCCCGTGCACCCCACTGTTGGCCACCGCTCGCCCACTCCCATCTTGACCCTACCCCGCTACACCGCGATCCCATCTGCCGCCCTGGGCCGGATCAAGACCCAGCCGGGTGCTTCTCCTGCCTCTGTTCTGCCTGCCCCAGGCCTCTCTCTAATCCACTCAAACATGGCCCATCCCAGACTACAAAGGGAATTTTTTCTTAGATTTTTGAGACTAAATCGGTGGGAAATAGCAGGCTCCTCCCCCAAAGTCAGCTCACCAAGATAGAAGACAATTGAGACATATGACTTGATTTCTTAAAATATGTAAAGAGTAATATCGGTTGTAAAGAAATAATAAAAGTAAATAGTCAGGTGTGATAGCACAGATCTGTAATCTCAGAATTTGGGAGGTTGAGACAGGAGGATTGCTGGGAGTTCCCAGCCAGCCTAGGCTACAAAGTGATAACTTGTTTCACAAAAATATTATAAGAATATATGGGTGAAAGCAACATTTCCACCATACAACACCTAAACACATTGCCTGCATGTGTGAGCGTAACTGTTTGAACAAATATTGTAAAATATATATAATTTTAAATATTTATTTTTTTCTTTAACAATATTATTAATATAGGTCAGGCTTATTTGCATATGGGTGTGTTTTACTTTTTAAGTGATTAAAAAAATACCGTGTACCTGTTACTGTGCATTAAGGTGCCTTTTGGTTTTCGAGATTCTTGGACTGGAATCCAAGTGGAGAGTTTTCTTTCTGGTTTTTGGAAGTGTTTCTGTACAATAGATTCAAAGAAGCCAAAAATGTCGCCACTTTATATTTCAGTAAAGAATGCCTTGAAAATGCGGTACCAGCGTGTCCACCGACCACACTGGGTGGATCGGGGCAGCCTTTTCTGTGAAGGAACTGAGCACGGTGGAAAACTGAACCTGTATGGCTCAGTGGTTATCTCAATCCTGTGGAGGGAATGCTTCTTGAGAAGTTCATATGGGCAGGAAAACAGGCCTTAGCTGGTTATTGTGGAACCAAGAATACAGGAAAACAAAAACAAACCCCAAGAAGAGCACATGGTTTACTGGGATATGTTTATTTTGCTGGTCTTTTTGGCCACTGCTGGGTTTGATGGTCAGCTAGCATTTCATTATGTCAGATGTGAGGGGTGCCTGCCTGCCTTTCGCTGTCCTTCCATTACAGTGCATTTCTACTAATGTTACTGTGTTCTTTTCCACAGTAAAATAACATCTGATAATTTTAATAACAGTGCATAGTGTACTAGAGCTTCCATTTCCAGGTCCCCTCCTGTATTAGCTTTTCTAATAGCCCCAAAGTGCTGACAGTGGGGTGCTATTTCGTAATGCATCCACTTTAACTTGTCTGTTTTCAATTTTTCTGAAAGTTACCACATACATTATATGCAATTTGCAAAAATTAGTATCTATTGACACCTGCTGGAAATGCATAAAATTAGCAACTGTATGTAATATAAAATATGAAGAATCTAGTCCATGTTCATTACCCTTTCCTTGCTGGTTTTAATATCCGTATTTTAAATTATAGATGTGATACTGACTTTTATTTTACCCTATTAAAGAAATTTATTTTTTAAAAGATTTCTAAAATAACACAGACACCCCTCTCATTCTCCGTACTCTGACTTTGTTTCTGAGTTAAGTTTCATGTGTTAATGTTCTGTTTTCTCAGTTACCAGAACCTTCTTGTAGATGGAAAGGGTGGTTCCGAGGACTGGAAATTAACAAGGAGATGCCATGCTTAAGATGTTATATATAATATAATAAATATAGTAATATATCATGTTATATATTATGTTATATATCATATATATTATACATGATATATGAAATACTATGTAATGTATCATATGTAATATATGACATATATCTATAATATATAATATATGATGTTATGTTATATGATGTATCATATTACATGTGATATATTATAGTGTGATTAAGAGCAAGGATAATTGTATGGGAGCTGCTAAGCTGTCTATCTCAGGAATATGGTTCATTAGAGCAGGGCAGACTGATGTGAAGCCATGCGTGGACAGCCAGCCTGTAGCTGGTAGCATCCCTCCTTCCTCAGCCTCCGGAGTGCTGCGAAACAGTAAACCACTGTGCTTGGTATTTTTGCTATTGTCATTGCAAGCCAAGACCTTGTACTCTCACTCTCAGAAAAAGAAAAAAAAAAAAAAGGAGGTTGGGGGTGCTGTGTATGCCTTAAATCCCAGCACTCAAGAGTGCAGAAGCCAGCCAGGTATACAAAGTGAGTTCTAGGACATCCAGAGCTACATAGAGACACCGTCTCAAAAACACCAAAATGACTAAGTAAATAAAAAGGAAAATGAAAATGAATTTCCAGAAGCAGATGCTGTTTCAGGATGGGTAAAGTCTCCTTTCTTCACTACACTATATGTATATAATATGATGTTATATATAGTATTATAATATAACATAATTGCATTATATTATACATGTTAATATGTGTCAATAATTAATGCATTATATTAAAATGTATTGACATTCATAATTATTAATCATTATATCATATATTATATATCATGTGTAATATATAATATTATATATGATATATCATATCATTTTATACACACACACACACACACACACACACACACACACACACAGACCAGTCTGCCCTGTGTTCTCCTGTATTTCTTTAAGGGAATTATTTATGTCCTTCTTAAAGTCCTCTATCATCATCATGAAATGTGATTTTAAACCTCAATCTTGCTTTTCCAGTGTGTTGGGGTATCCAAGGCTCACTATAGTGGGAGAACTGGGTTCTGATGATGCCAAGTAGCCTTGGTTTCTGTTGCTTATGTTCTTGTACTTGCTTCTTGCTATTTGGTTAACTCAAGTGCCCTTGCTGTCTCTGACTCAGCCTGTCCTTCCTGTGATCCCTGTGATCCTGGTTGTGTCAGAACTCCTTAGAATCCAGCTGTTTCTGTGATTCTGGGATCATGTGATCCTGAGTGTGTCAGAGCTCCTGGGAGTTAGGCTTTCTCTGGGTGTTGCAGGATTGGGTGGGGAGCCAGAGCCCTGGGTCTGCTCCTGGCACAGGTGCAAGCTGGAAGGAACCCATCCCTCTGGGTGGGCAAGGTTCATGCATCCCTGGACACCAGGAGTCCCAGTTACTCCGGGTGTTGGGGCAGATGTTGTGGCCTCACCTATGATCCTGGGTGTGTCAGAGCACTTGGGAGTTGGGCTTCCTCTGGGTGTTGTAGGAATGGGTGCAGAGCCAGTGCCCAGGTCTGCTCCGGGTGCAGGTTGAAACTGGAAGGATCAGAGGAGACTTTCTATGGCACTGAGTTTGGTAATCTGGATTCTCTGTTTCTCCTGGCCATGTGCTCACCATCCATGTCCCCTTACGGTGGCTTCTTCTCTCTCCGTTCTTCTGCAATTTAATTTCAAATTCCTTCTTAACTTTTTCAACAGAAGAATTATACTAGCCCATGAGATTTCTTGGTTAATCACAGGGTTTGATGAATGTATTTTTGTTTCTTTGAAAACACCTTTCCCTGCAGACTTGGGATTTCTGTTGTAGTTCTGACTAGTTTGAAGCTTCTTGACCATAGCCAGCTCTGGGAGACTTCAACAAGCACTCACTTGTCACCTTGCTTTGGATTCCATTCCATCTTTTTCGAGCAACGTAATCGTTTGGTTTGTTGTATTCTCAAATAAGTTTCTAAAAGTGGCAGTGCATAGCATCTGAGCCCCCGAGTTCGGGATTAGCCATTTCCTAGATCTCTAAGGCATTAGCCTCTCCTCTCCAAGGCCTTGGCCCATGGCAGGCTTCAGGACCTTTGAGCCCCAACTTTGAAGATATTTTCAGATGTCATAGTCAGCACTTTGCTTTTCTTTTTCTCTATTTTTCCTTGTTTCTTTTTTCCTTTTCCTTTTTCTTTTTGGTGAAAATAATCTGCTTCATCATCCTTTGAAGCTTCAATTAAAAAAAAATATTATTGTGCCAGGATGTGTGTTTTGTGTTGTTGGACAATTGTTTCCCTTAATCCCAAGAATTATTTTCTTCAATCTACTGAAGTATTTCTTTGAGTATTTTATTCTCTGTTTTTATCTTTACCTCTGAAATGGGTAGCCATATACCTTCTGTATGTTGGATGTATTTCTATTTATGAGTTCTCCACTTGAATTTTTAATAATCAGGTATTTAATAATTTTATCAGTGCACTGAAAAAAATTTTTTTTGTTAAGCTCACTTGGTAACATTAGGATTTATTCTTATTTTTTAATTGGATATTTTATTTATTTGCATTTCAGGTGCTATCCCCTTTCCCTATCCCACCAAAAGAACCCCCCATCCTATCTCCCTCCTCTTGCTTCTATGAGGGTATACCCCCAACCATCCACCCCTTCCCACCTCCCTGTCCTCAAATTCCCCCACACTGGAGGAACCAGCCTTCACAGGACCAAGAACCTCCTCTGCCACCTATGCCGGACAAGGCCATCCTTCCCTACATATACAGCTGGAGCCATGGGTCCCTCCCTATGTGCGCCCAGGCTGGTTGTTTAGATCCTGGGAGCTCTGGTTGGTTGGTACTGCCCTCTCCCCATGGGGCTGGGGAGTCTTCTCTCTAACTCCTCCATTGGGGACCCCATGTTCAGTTCAATGGTTAGCTGTGAGCATCCGCTTCTGTATATGTCAGGCTCTGGCAGACTTCTAAGGAGACAGCCATATCAGGTTCCTGTCAGCATGAACTTCCTGACATCCACAACAGTGTCTGCATTTGGTGACTGCACATGGGATAGATCCCCAGGTGGGGTAGTCTCATGCAATTTGTTATTCTTTCTAAGAAGG